TGATGTGAGGCAGACCCTGGGAAGCGCTGGTGTCTGGCTGAGCCCGCTCTGGGGTGTCTGGGGGATGAAGGGGTCCCTCAAAAAAGGGGATTGGGATCCTTTCTGGGAGCAGGTAGCGAGAGACTGGCGGAGGAGGTCTGCTGCCTGCCACTGCTTTGGGGAGAACGGAAGGCACCTGGCGACGTGGAATCGGACTGAGATTATTAAATGATTTGGCAATGGCCACCAAGCAGATGCCAGCCAGATGCATAATGACTTTCTGCCACTATTGACCTGATACGGATGTGAACTAGTGACCCTTGAGGTGAAATGCTCCATAGTCTATTACCAATTCCCCGAGCCACCAAATCCCCCTCACAGGCAGATTCAAATATTTATGTCCATCAACAAAACAAACTCTGCTCCAAGCAACGCACACTGCAGAAGGGATGAGAAAAGGAATTACTCAGTTGTAAAGACCAAGTAAAAACAAATCAAGTCAAGGTACAAATAAAGTTGAACTTAAACATGTCAAATTTGGGATAATTTAATTCCTACTTTCATGCACAGCTCATCTGAAAGTATTCTCAATTATTTGAGAAATTAACTATTCAAATACAGGTTTTGTCTTTGGGCTTTTTTTGTTTGTTTTTTTTTTTTTTTTTAAACCAAAGACACCATTTAATCTATAATGCAGTATATTAAGACAGTTTTCCAGATAGGATTATACAATTTAAAATCCATTCTCTGCATTGTAATCTGGATGCCAAGATTAATAGGCAGAATACTTTAAGCACATCTGACATCTTTAAGCACAGCTTTTGTGATTTTTTGATTCCTGTATGGCTGAGTGCACGCTCTTACATGTATTTCATTCACCATAGTTTCAGAAACGGTGTAAGGGAGCACTCTGAAAGGCAGACCTCCTTTACAATCCCTGATGTCAAGCTTTCCAGAACCAAGCGACTCAACATTTTGAATGCTTAAACAACGCTGGGTGGCTACTTTAAACAGCAAAACACAGTTTAGAGAGTTTTCCTGTGCTTATCTAAAAATAGCTCTCATAAATACGGAATCTATTAAATATGATTGTTTGCATGTGACATGAGAATGATAAGGTCTGGACAGAACTCAAGAATAGTAGCATTTCAATGGTTAGTATTGTCATGAGAATGCTGCGGTTTTACTGCAATGTTTGCAGAAATAAATGGAAATTATGGGGTTCTTTT